GAATTGCACTTATTAGTATTTATATATTTTGTAAAAAGTAGACCTGAGAAGTTAAAAGGTTACAAATGAGACACCTCACCAAAAATATATACAGATGTCCAGTAGGCATATGAAAAGATGCTCCATATCATATATCATCAGGGAGATGCAAATTAAAACAAGATTGAGATACCACTAAACACCTATTAAAATGGCCAGAATTCAAAACACTGATGACACCAAATGCTAGTGAGAATGTGGAGCAACAGGAACTCTCCGTCATTGCTGGTGGGAATGAAAAATGGCACAGCCAACTTTGGAAGATGTTTTGTCAGTTTCTTACAAACTAAGCATACTCTTACCATATGAGTCAGCATTTGTGCTCCTTGGTATTTACCTAAAGGAGTTGAAAACTTATATATCCACATAAAAATTTGCATACAGATATTTATAGCTCTTCACTCATAATTGCCGAAACTTGGAAGCAATCAAGATGTCCTTTGGCAGGTGAATGGATAAATAAACTGTGGTCTATACAGACAAAGCAATATTATTTGGTGCTAAAAAGACATGGAGGAACCTTATGTGAATATGGCTAAGTGACAGAAGTCAGTCTGAACAGGTGACATGCTGTATGATTCCACCTGTATGATATTCTGGAAAAAAGCAAAACTATGGAGACAGTAAAAAGATCAGTGGTTGGCAGGGGTTGGCAGGAAAAAGGGGCTGAATGGCACAATACAGAGCATTTTTAGGGCACTGATTCTACTCTGTACAGCACTACAGAGATGGATCCATGTCATTATCCATTTGTCCAAAGCCACACAAGGCACAACAGCAAGCATGAACTCCAATGTGAGTTGTGGACTTTGGGTGATGGTGCATCATGTAAGCCCACCAAGTGTAACTGCTCTGGTGAAGGATACTCATGATGGGGAGGCTGTGCCTGCTGCGCGGGAACAAGGGGGAATATGGGAAACCCAGGTACTTTCCCCTCAATTTTGCTGTGGACCTAAAACCATTCTTGAAAAAACAAAGTCTTTAAAAATCACAATAGGGAACGGAAAACAGCAGAATAGGGTGGGTGAAGATGGAGTATGAGGTATGTTGTGTCTTACTCTGCACTCGGAGGTATTGGGCAGGGGTGGTGATGGCTGCTCGGTGATGAAAGCTTCTCATTGTCCACTTGGCCACATGGACAGTGGCTGCTTCTCACTGCTCCAACCTGCAGATTGCCCCTACTCTTACCTGCAAGGAATTCTGTCAGAATCACCTTTTCAAATGGACATCATATCATGTCCCTCCATTTCTCAAAAGTGTTCCACAGCTCCAATTTCACTTCAGATGAAATCCAAAGTCCTCACCCTGGCCTGCAGGGCCCTGTGTGATCTGGTCCCTTGCCACCTCCCCGATGTCCTCCCTGCCCTGGTCAGCTGCATTCACCAAGCAGACACCCAGCCCAGAGCCCTTATAAATGCTGCCTCTGGAACCACTCATGGGAGGCTGAATGATGGCCCCCAAAGAGGTCTGTTTTTAATCCCTGGAAACTGTGAAAATGTTACCTCACACAGGGGAAGGGACTTCACAGGTTTGATTACAGTAAGGATCTTGAGATGGGGAGATCATTTTGGATTTCTGGGTGGGCCCAATGCAATCACAAGGGTCTTTATAAGAGGGAAGCAGGAGAGTCTGAGTCAGAGATGTGGCCCTGGGAGCATAGGGCAGAGCCAGAGAGAGAAATCTGAAAATGCTCTGCTGGCTCGCTTTGAAGATGGACAAAGAGCTGAGAAGTTGGAGAAGGCAAGCGAATGGCTTCTCCCCCTTGGGCCTCCAGAGGAATCCACTCCTGCTGACACTTTGATATTAGACCCATTTAAGACCCACTTTGGACTTCTGACCTCTAGAACTGAAAGATTATAAATTTGTGTTATTTTAAGCCATTAAATTTGTGGTAATTTGTTATAGCAGCCATAGAAAACTAATACACCCATTCTCCAGATTTCTACTTGTCTGGTTCTTCCCTGCTACTCACGGTTCATCTGAAATGTCATCTCTTCAGAGAAGCTGTCCTTGGCCACTCCAGCCCAATAAATATTTGTAGAATGAATAAGGAAGATGGAAATGTGTCCTTGACTCCAATAAAGGTGGAAGCAAGAGCTCACAAATTATATATCCATGGGTCGAATTCAGCCTACAAATGTGATTTATTTGGCTGGCATTGTGTTTGAAAACTGTTTGGAGCCAGCATTCATATATTGGACAGTTTCACTCAAACATCTTAATTTCTAGAATCAAGTGTCACTTTCAGAGAAACCAGGCCTGTGTTTGTGCGTGGTGATTATCAGCTAGAACTTTCTGACAAAGCCCATAGTAGTCCCTCCCCCTCAACCTGGCATAAAAGCTCATGTATTTTCCCCTTATTTATAGTTTCTGCTTGGCTCATGCAGGCCATTGAGGTGGCAACCCTGGGTTCCCATAGAAGTCAATATTAAAATAGAAAGTATTGACAAGGAGATAGAAGGTATAAAGAACAACCAGATGGAAATTTCAAAACTAAAAATACAGTAGTATTTTTCCTCTTAGATGGGCTGAATAGTAGAACAGAGATGACAGAAGAAGGAGCCAGCAAACTTGAAAACAGATCAATAGACATTCTCCAACCTGAACCACAGAGAAGATGAGAGGAAAATCAACAGTCTCAGGGATTTGCGGGACAACAACAGATCTAACATGCATGTCTTTGGAGTTAGTTCCCTGAGAGGAGAAGGAATGTGGGGCTAAAAACTCTTTGCAGAATGTAACCTCAGGAAGCAGAAATGAAAGAGCAAGGTAGGGGAGGGGTATAAACGGTGCCTTAATGAGCTGGTTGCACCCATACCCGCTGAAACTCAGGGCCACTGGGACCGTCCAAGAGAATGTGTGGAATGTGTCTCAGAATTGTACCATCCGGGGCTGGGGAAGCTGGTGTCTGTCCTCCCACTTCCATCCCTTGCAGGTAGGAATTGCTTCTGGGGGCACCAACTGCCCCACCGCCAGCCTGCCCCATGCCTGGCCTGCAGGGTCTGGAGAGGAGCCAGGCAGCCACTGGTCACACAGGAAGCATCTATGTGATGCTGAAGCTGCAGGGGACTTCAGGGTGGGCTCGGTGGTAGGGTGGGGTGGGTGTATCAGCTGCCTGTCACTGCGTAACAAGCGCTATACATTTAGTAGCTTAAAACAACACACATTCATGATCCCCCAGTTTCTGTGAGTGGGTTAGGAGTCCAGACATGGCTTGACTGGGTCCTCTGCTCAGGGCCTCTCAAGGCTGCAATCAAAGTGTTGGTCATCTGGAGGCGCGATGAGAGTTTGCTTCCAAGCTCATTCAGGTTGTTGGCAGGGTTCCTCTCCTTGAGGCTGTGTGACTGAGGTCCCGGCTTTTTGCTGGCTGTCACCCTCAGGTCCTAGAGGCCATTTTCAGCCCCTGAAGGCTGCCCACAGCCCCTACCAAGTGGGCTTCCCCAACATGGCCGCTTGTTTTGTCAAGCCAGCAAGCCTCTCTCACTCCGGTCTGCTAAGACCGTCCTACAGAACGTGGTGTAAACCAGGGAGTGACATCCCAATACCTTCCCAGTATTCTATTGGTTGGAAGCAAGCTACAGGTGCCCCCACACTGAAGGGGAGGGGACTCCCACGCAGGCGTGGACACAAGGAGCTGGAGACTGCTGGGATGGCCCTGGGGTCTGCCTGCAACAATGAAGCGTGGGCAGCCTTGGCTGTGGGCTGTGACCTTCAGTGCTGAGCAGGCAGGCCTGGGCTTTGGACCCGTGCTTGGCCCTAGCTGTTCTACCTCCTGCTGCTACGCAATGCGCTATAGGTGCAGGACTCTGGGGGTTCCCTGGGGGCCGGTGGGGGCGTGCCCAGGGGTGGTCTTTCACTTTTCCATCACTAGCCCCTTCCCACATTCACTGTGTGACCTCAGGAAGGTCGCTTAAGCCCTCTGTGCCCTGAGGTTCTCAGCTACAGAACAAGTTCTTCACAGTAGCCTGAGCCTCGTGGGTGGCTGTGAGGACATGTTTGGGAAGGGCACGACTTTGACCATGTCAGGAGGTCCACAAAAGTTTGCTATTGGTACCGTTACTCTCTGCCTCTGCTTCCCAGTGGACCCCCTGTAGTTCTCCATGAACACTCCCCCGTTCTGCAGGATTCGTTGCATCTCTGGGCACATACAAAGCCTCAAGTGTTTGGCAACAGTGTCTGATACGTGAAGGGGGAGCTCTGCCTCTCTTTGGAGGCAGGAGTTCTGTTCTGGACGTTTCAGATCTGTCCTGTCATTGTTGCTTCACAAGGTACTATCAGGGCAATGAATTTTACAAAGTATTGATATTTTGCTTTACACTCTTGCTCTCTGCTAAACAGTGTACAGCTGTCCCTTGAGCAACGCAGGGTTAGGGTGCCCACCCCTGCTCAGTAAAAAATCCAAGTATAACTTGACTCCTCAAAAACTTAATTACTAATAGCCCACTGTTGACTGGCTGGAAGCCTTACTGATAACAGTCTATTAACACGTATCTTATATGTTATATGTATTATGTAGTATAGACTTTCAATAAAGCTAGAAAATGTTTTCAAACTGTTGTAAATCTGCGTACAACTTTCCAATGTATTTATTGAAAAAAATCCACATATAAATGAACCTCTGCAGTTAAAACCTATGTTGATCAAGATCAACTGTACGTAATTTCTGGGAACAGAGAGGCCTGGTGATTCTGGCAGGTCGGCTGGGCCAGGCCAGCACTTTGTCCCGGTGTGGGGGCCTGTCTCCCCTTCTTGGGGTTTGAAGGGATTCTCTCCCCTCTGAGAGCCAGGAAGGGGGACGGCTGTCTGGCTGCCCTGGGCCACCACTCCCGCAGCACCTTCTGACTTGGGGAGGCGCGGCTTCGCCTGAAGGCCCTGGGGGAGGGGGGCCAGGGGCGGGGAAGCTGTGGGAAGGCAATGAAGGTGCGGGAGGCCAGGTCTCCTGGGCACCGGAGGCTCTCGCTTTATTTCACCGGCAACACCTGGTCACTTGTTTTGCCCCAGGAAGGGTGGAGGAGCCCCAGTCACACCCTGAGCAGGCCCAGGACTGTGCCCACCAGCAGCGCCAGCTTCAGCCCCTTGAGGATGGGGTTGGCCTTCCCCTTTTGGGCCTTTCCTGCCACCTGCTGTGATCCAGCCTCCTCTCTTGACTGAGTCCCCAGAACATCATGATCCGGCTTGGGGTTGAATGGAGCCACAAGCTCCTGCTGCACTTGTAAATGGCCAGCTGGAACACCTGCAGTCACTGGCCACTGCTTGGAGGGGTCCAGGACAGTCTTTATGTCCCGGCCAGAGCTGGCCATGCCAGGTCAGGGGGTTGTCGTTGGCTTCCCAGATGACGGGCCTGCAAAGGAGGACATGGTCAGCTGCGGGGCTCCAGGGGTAGAGGGGGTCTGATGTCGGAAAGGAGGTGGAGAAGGTGGCACCTTCTTCCCTGGGGAAGAGCAAAATCACCCCTCTCGGGAGTGGAGCGGTCAGCAAGAAAGGGGGGGTGGCTGGGAACTCAGAGTCCATCCCACACTGAACGGGCCATGTGGGCAAAGCCTCTTTGGGCCTCCATTTCCTTATCTGTCCTTCTTGTACCTACCCTGGAGTGTAACTTGGAGGAATTAGCAAGAGAACTCCCTAAATGATTTGCATGCCCTGTACCTGCCTGGCCTCATTTTATCCCCTCTCCCCTGCCCCCTGCCCCAGCCACAGTGGCCTTCTAGATTGTTCCTCGGCAACCTGGGCCCTGCCCTGCCACAGGGCCTTTGCTTTGCCTGGAGGGTGCAGCCTCAGTGCACAGGCTCCTCAGCAACTTCCAGTCCCAGCTGAAATGGCACCTTCTCAGAGATGGCCTCACTGACCTCCCTGTTTAAAATGTCATCTCCCCCACGCCACCACCCTTACCACCCCTAAACTCTGTGTGTTTTATTCGTGCAATTGATTTGCCACTCCATTAGGGCAGAAGTCTTTTCCAGTTTTGTTCTTCACTGCTTCTCAGGTACACGCTTGGCTTATGAATGCTCAATGAAAACACAGTAAGTGAATAAGTGAACCAGGCATGTCACACAGCCCATTGTGGCTGAGAAACAAAAGGGACACTCAGCAGACAGTACTGACAAGGCTGATGATCATAAAGCAGTCACTGATGCCTACGAGCACATGCTCACTGGTCTTTGCCCCCTTGGACATCACAGTGACCCTGTGGGGCTGGGGCCAGTAAGACCCCTGTGCTGAGCTGGATAACATCCTCCCCAAATTCATGTTCCACCTGGAACTTCAGAATGTGTCTTTATTTGGAAATAGTCGTTGCAGGTGTCATTAGTTAAGATGGGGTCAGAGTGGAGTAGGGTGGGCCCCAAATCCAGCACGACCCGTGTCCTTGTAAGAAAAGGAGACCAGATGCAGAGACACAGACACACAGGGGGAAGGCCAAGTGATGACAGAGGCAGAGATGGGGTGACAGCTGCAAGCCCAGGAAGGCCACGACTGCCGCCACCAGCAGCAGCCGGGGCGGAGGAGGCGGGCTTCTCCCCGGCCCCGCTGATGTCTTGCCCCTGGGCCCAGTGTGCCCCATGCCGAGGAACAATCTAGGGGGCACTGTGGCTGGGGCAGGGGGCAGGGGAGAGGGGAGAAAGTGAGGCCAGGTAGGCATGGGCCTGGGCCAGAACTGAGGGAGAATAAAATTCTGTTAGTTGAAGTCCCCAGTTTGTGGTGCTTTGTGACGGCAGCCCTGGAGCCGGTACAGCCCCTATTCCACAGATGGGGAGACTGAGGCCCAGAGAGAAGCCGGACCCCCAGAGTCACACAGCTGGAAGGTGGCAGAGCTGGGGTTAGGGCCCCAGCCTAGATGAACCCAGATCCAGGGCAGAAACCTCACACGAAATGCTGCTGTCGTCTGCTGCCTAGAGGCATGAGCAGCTCTTGAAACGGCAGGGACCTACCTTAGTTCTTATCTCAAGTTCCCCATGACTAGAACTCCTGTCCGGCGAATGAGCTGGAGTAGGTGTCCCGGTGTAGATGGGAGGAGGGGTTCAAGTGTGCTTCTGAAGTACGGGTTTTTTAGGGGGCAAGTGTTGCTTTTATACTTAAAGAAGAGGATGATGGAGACAAAAGGGTATGAGAGAGAAAGAGAGGAGGACCAGAAGTCCCAGCGGGAGTAAACAAGGAAGAGGAAACCAGGTGGAAGTGGTGGGGCCAGAGCCTTCAGAACCTGGGACTGCAGAGGCCCCAAGACGTTGCCTGGGCTCCCCCCTTGCATGGAAGAGGCTGCTGCTGGCATGTGAGGAAGGAGGGCAGGGGGGGCCCAAGGTCCAACAGGTGGACGTAAGGTCTGCATGGCCACCTTGCCCGTACAGGTCTCCCTGGGCAGTGGCAGCGTCCCTCTGAGCTGTGGCTTCCCCATCTGGGAGCCGAAGTCCTTGGAGTCCACAGCAACCGGGGCTGGGGAGAGAGACAGGAGCGGGTGCAACGCACACTGAGTTCGCCGGGACCAGCCTGTGGTGGAAGCGCAGTCCTGTGAGTGGCTGTGGCTCTTATATTGGGGCGGGGGCAGGTGGTTTGGGGAAAATGAGGCAAAGGGGAGAGTTCCCGGGGGCTCCAGGCAGGAAGACAAGGACATGAGTGTGAGCTCGGGGAGGCAGTCCCTGAGGGGCACCCCTGGGGCACCATCATCCCTCCCAGGGCTTGCTGACCCTCCCAGGTGAGCAGAGGCCTCAGGGCTCCAGGGCTCCCCTCGGCTTCCCTCAGGACGGCCCTGGCGCCTGCCTGGGCTTCCCCATCTCAGCCCTGGCGGTTCCAGGCTGTCTCCTGCCCTGGGCTTAGTGGCTTCCTGAGGAGAGGGCCTGTGGCTGTCTGGGGACCACCATGTCCACAGCATCACCCAGCACGGGGACGGCCCGGAGTCACCTGCCCCGAGTGTTAGCTTTTGCCCTAAATTGTGTGTGGGCCCTGGGGGATTCTTGCCAAAGGAGCATCTGAAGAAGCCAGTGAAGAGTCTGCGGAGCTGACCACCTAGACCCCATCCCTCTCTGCATGGCTAGGGGCTGAGGGCAGGGCTGGTGCCCACTTCCATCACCTGTACATGGATCCTAAGGGGCGGGGGAGCCATGCAGATCCTGACTCCTCACTGAGCTCGAAGCTGTCAAACATGATGTACCCCACATCTGATGTTTTATACTGGTCGTGGCAGGCTTCCACCTGCATCTCAGGCCATAAGTGCCTGGACCGCACCTTCACATCTCCCAGGTAGAGCCAGCAGGGCATGGGTTCCTCCGGGGGCTGATATAGCAGTACCCCAGGCGTTTGCACTCCCCCAGCTCCCCACAGTGGTTACAGTCCTGCCAGGGCTCCCAGCAGGTGAAGATGAGCTCCTTGCCACCCAGCCTCAGGGTTTCATTCTGCAGGGGCTCTTGGCCCGGGTCTTTGTGGGTAATATGCAGGGTGCTGACGTCCTGGAAGTCGATCTCATGCTGCACCAGTAGGGTGTCGTTCTTTTCCCAGCAGTAGTAGAAGCCCGTCTGGGAGGGCAGTGGACTTCTGACGCGAATGCCATCCCCAGGCATTATCTCTATGTTGGAAAGAACAGGGATGTTGCTGGACCAGCTGGTTCTGTCTTGCAGGAGGAAGTACCACTGTGCCTCAGAAGAGTTGCACGGCAGGAAGACATCATTGTGCGAGAGTAGGGCCCGTTGGCATTGCTTGCCAGGGGGACAGCTGATGGATCCCAGCACTGGGACAGCAAAGTTGAGCAGCAGGCACAGGGTGGTCAGCATGGCACTCTGGGACTGTGGGGTGGGCTGCACCCCACCCTGAACATTGTGAGGTCACCCATGAAACTCAGGCCTCAGCCCTGGACAATAAGACGAACTGCAGTCCACCCCATGGGTGTGTGAAATGTCACAATCCCCATCTGTGCTGTGACCAGTTAACCCCCTATTTAAGTTCTACCCCAAGCCATTTACTCTGCTGGGGTAGGAGGAAACTGAATTTGTCTTTCCAGGGTTTCCTCTCCCACCCCCCCTGCTCTGGCACTCAAGTGTCACATGCGAACATTCAACACATTGTTCCTGAATGAATACTGACTATGTTCTGGTCACACCTCTCCGTGCTGGGACAGGGAGAGGTGAGCAAACCCTTTCTCGTTACTATTCTGACCTCCTACTCTTCCCCCTCTTCCCCAGCCAGGCTGGTCTCCCTGCTGTCCCCTGAACATATCAGGCAAGCAAAGAGCTGCTGCATCAGGGCCTTTGCACATGCTGGCCCCTGGCTCTTTCCACAGATATCTGCATGATTCAATTCATTTTAAACAAATAAATATTTTTCTCAGTTGTCCTCTTCCCAAACTTTTTCCTAAACTCCTCAGTCCTGAAATTAAAAATAGTTGTTGTGTATGCCTAACTACCATCATTCACTCATTTCACAAATATTTACTGAATGCCTACCATGTGTCAGCCATTATCCTAATCACAGCAGTGAACAGGTTAGACAAAGCATCTGCCCTCCTTGAGCTCACCTTCTAATGGAAGAGACAGACAATAAAAAAAATACATAATACATAAAGTTAGATACAGTAGATTCTTGTTATTCATGGAAGTTCTATAAAGCCACTGAATTAGCTAATACTGAAACACTGCTCCCAGGAGAAACACAGTGTTAGAGTCCTACAAGCCTTTGCTCATAACATTTTTGTCAACTGATTAACACATAACTTTGTTTTATGTGTGTTTTTGTTTAAAGACACCTTGTTTAATATATACTGTTGATTCATTAACACTGAATTTGTTAGTCTTAAAAATAAAACTGCAATTACTTATTAGCAAAAATGGGTTTATTTGGGAACAGCAGAGAATAGCAATTTGGGACATGCAAGCTATGGCAAAACCACAGGCAAGTCCAGAAAACAAAGGAGAGGAATGCTTTTTTATAGAGGAAAGGGGGGAAAGTCGGGAGTTATAAACAAAAAGCCCATACAGTAAACTGGGAGTTCGAAGTTTAGCGGCTTTTCATTGGCTGAGTTGTGACAGACTCTTATTGGCTGGACTATTGCCAGAGGAGTAGAAAACATTTTTTCCTCCTACTGGGCTGCAAAGTAGTAGCTAAAGAGTACTCCTTTCCCTCTAAGTCTGCAACTGACCATCAGTGGTGCATGAAAGCTTCCCCTAGTGAGAGTGCCTCCTGGTGGCCTCCTGACTCCATTTTTAGTGGGGTTTACTTTTTTGTAGATTTCACAAACTTGTAGCCAACAGCACTATACCTCACGCCTGAACAAAGGTCATCAAACACATGTATTTTCTCTGTATGGCACATCACAGCCTTCTTGCACTTAGGAAACCTAGACAGTACTTCAGCACTATGCTTGGGAGCTATTTTAAACAGCAAAGTCACAAGCAAAAAGCACAAAAATGCAAAAAAAAAGAATAAAAAAGAAAGTGGCACTAAATAGACCTTGAAATGGACACTTGTTTATAGCATGAGAGCTGAAACAAGAAGGCATAGTGTCACTTTTTATAACCTTGGCTGGAAACCTTGCATGGTTCAATTTTTTTGCCACTCTGTGCGTGTCTGCAAATGACTGAAAATACTGTGGGTATTGAGTTGAGGGTTATAAATAAATTCAATAAGCGTGGAATTCTTGAATATTGAGGATCAACTGTAATAATTGCTAAAGAGAAAAACAAAGCAGAGAAATGGAGATAGAAGTGAAAGGTTGTGCATGGGTGTGACATATTTTAGGGAGGATAATCAGGCCTTCATGAGCACTCTCTGAGGAGGTGAAATTTCACAAACACCTAAATGAAGTGAAATAAAGAGCTATGTGAATATCTGAAGGAAGAATATGCCCAGAAGAGGGCTAGACCCTGACAGGGCTGCCTGGTAAGTATAGTTAAAAGATATGGAGGCCAGAGTGATTAAGAGGGAGTGGACAAGGGGGAGAGCAGCAAGTGGGTGAGGCATAAGCTGCATGCTTACACTTTGGAACTGTTACTTTGATGGTATTTTGTTGCCACCCCACCCCAGCAGTGGGTCACACATCCCCCCTGCTCTCAGATCTACAAAACCATTTAGGGTTTTTGTCTGCTTCCTAGGATCTTAAAATTTCCCTCTCTCTGAGATACATGAACATCTGCATACCTACTGCTTTCCCTCTATCTCCTTCCTTCTCTCCCTTTGTCTCTCTCCTCAGTCCAAGAAATATTTTCTAAACAGGTAAGCAGGGGTATGAGGACACTGTGAGAAAGCCCACTTCCAACTTTCACTTTGTCTAGGCAAGAAGTCACCAACTGTCAGAACAGATGTTTTAATTGCCCCCCGCCCAGGGTGTTTTAGAGTATTTAAATCAGACACCAGCAGGTAAAATCCAAGAGATTTAATATAAGAATCTAGATTTCCTGCTATTCTTTATATGATGTGGTGATATTTCTGCTTACTGATAAAATTGAGTAACATGAATCCTTGTTAACCAACCCTCTTGTTAATAACAACATAGACTTTAAGATAACTATGATACGTGTGTCTAAGAGATGATGAGATGAAGTTTTTGAATCCGTATGGAAGAAGAATCAAATGAAAATGCTAGAATTAAAAAAACAAAATTAGTGAAATTAAGAATTAACTAGAAATGAAAAAAAAAAGAATTCACTAAAAATGGTAACATCTATTAGACACAACAGAAGAGAGGATTAGAGAAATAAAAGATGGGCCCACTGAAAAATGTCTATTCTGGACCATGTGGGAAAAAGAGGAAAATACAGAAAAGAGTTTAAAAGACATATGAGACATGGTGAAAAGTTCTAATGTTCATGTAAATGTAGACTCAGAAGAAAAGGAGGAACAGGAGCATGAGTAATATTTGAAAAGACACTGGATGAAAACTTTCAAAACTGATAGAAGACAACAAGCCACAAATTCAAGAAGGTCTTCAAATTTCAAATAGGACTAATATATATAAAGAAAACCACACCTAGGCACTTTATAGAAAAACAGGAGAAAAAAAAATACACTACTTTCAAAGCAATAATCTTAATACCTTCCATTGATTTTAAAAAGCAATAGTGGAAATGACATCTTCAAACACTTAAAGAAAATGACTGCCAATATGGAATTCCATAAATAGAATTCTATATACCACAATGAAAGGATCCTTCAAAAATGAAGGCAAAAAGACATTTTCAGATGAAAACTGAGAGAATTTACTAGCAGAGCACACTAAAAATAATACTAAAGAGAATTTTTCAGGCAGTGGTAAAACTGCACCCAAAAATGACATCTTCAAACACTTAAAGAAAATGACTGCCAATATGGAATTCCATAAATAGAATTCTATATACCACAATGAAAGGATCCTTCAAAAATGAAGGCAAAAAGACATTTTCAGATGAAAACTGAGAGAATTTACTAGCAGAGCACACTAAAAATAATACTAAAGAGAATTTTTCAGGCAGTGGTAAAACTGCACCCAAAGGGATGCAAGGTAGTACCAGAATGAAAAGCACCAGAAGAATAAATATGTGGGTAAAACTAAATCATTATTGAGAGTGCTTTAAAATAATGTCTTGGCAGGTTTAAAATACATGTACACTAAAATACCTGATAACAAGAGCACAATAGATGGAAGAGGAATAAATGGAGCTAAAAGTCTGTAAGGTCTTTGCATTGTCTAGGAACTATTACAAGTACAAATTTATATTATATTCTAATGAGTGAGAATTAATGTTGTAATCTCTAGAACAAATAATAAAAGAATAATAAAGGAATGCACATCTAATAAGCTAATGGGGGAATGGAAAAATAGTTGGTGAATCCAAAAGCAAGAAAACACAAAAGAACCAAAGTAGAGACAGAACAAGTAGAAAGCAAATAAGATATATCATTTAAACTCAATTATATCAGTAATTACATTAAATGTAAATGAATTAAACACTCCAATTAAAAGAAAAGATTTTCAGACTTAATGCCAAAACAAAAATATAAATATATCCTACTTAAAAAAGACTCACCTTAAGTAAAAGAATATAGAAAAACTGAAAGAAAAAATATGGAAAAACATCATGCAAACACCAATCAAAAGAAAACTGGTGAAGGAGCTACACTAATAACATAAAGTACACCTAAGGGTCAAAACTATTAACAGAGATTACAAGACACATTTCATAAAATGATCAATCCAATAGGAACATATAGTGATCCTAAGTTTGTATGAACCTAAAAATATGTAAAGCAAACCCAATAGTTTTACATGTTGAAATAGACAAATCCACAACAGAATGTGCAAACAAAAATTTAGTAGATCTATAGATTTGATCTATATGATATAACTTGACCTAATTCATACATATGGAACTCTGCACTCAGTTTCATAACACATATTCTTTTCACATTCACAGGAAGTATTTGCCAAAACTGACCTTATTCTAGACCAGAAAGCAAGCCTCAATAAATGTTAAAGGAATGGAATTAAATATTTTTGGTCAGTGGAATTAAGCTAGACACAATGACAAAAAGATAACAAAAACATCCCCAGATATTTGAAAATGATACAATGAAAAGTC